CACCGCTCCGACGAGCTGGTGCGGTTCCGCTTCTGCAGCGGCTCCTGCCGCCGCGCGCGCTCCCCGCACGACCTCAGCCTGGCCAGCCTGCTGGGCGCCGGGGCCCTCCGGCCGCCCCCGGGCTCCCGGCCCGTCAGCCAGCCCTGCTGCCGACCCACGCGCTACGAGGCAGTCTCCTTCATGGACGTCAACAGCACCTGGAGGACCGTGGAGCGCCTCTCAGCCACTGCCTGCGGCTGCCTGGGCTGAGGGCTCTTCCCAGGGGTTTGCAGACTGCACCCTTACCCCTGGATCTTCCTGCCTGGGCCCTCCCGCAGGGTCCCGCCAGCCAGGGGCCTGAGCCAGAGATGGAGGCCTCAGCAGGTGACTGATGGACATCAACCCTGGAGAGATGGACGGACGACTGACCAGCGGCTCCGGGTCCTCACCCTGCGAGTCCCAGCCCTATAGACACAGAGACCTCAGCCATGGAGACCTTAGGACCCACTTCTCACGGACTCTGGCATTGACCAGGCGACGGACCCAGGACTCCTCCTCTGGAGAACCCAGCAGTGTCTGAGGGCTCAGCCTCAGCCCAGGCCCTGGGGGAACAAAATTTGGAGGAACACATTGCACTTGCATTGCTGAAGTGCCTTGTACTTACTGGTGGGAGCTGGACCCCTATTTATTTTTTCTAAGTTATTTATTTACTTCTGTGGTTTGTCAGCTCCTTTCCTGGGCAGTGGGGGCTGGATGGTAGAAGAAGCTGGGTAGAGGTCAGCCCTCTCCAGCCCACTCACAACTTCAGGCTGACTCAGCAATCACAGCCCTGGCCTAGATCTCCGACTGCTTGTCCCCACCCAGCAGCTCTGGGACATGGGGGTCATGGAACACAGGCAGAGTAGGGGCAAATGTGTGTTCACCAGTCTGGGCAGGCCAGCTCACCACCCCTGCACAGCCCCCAGCACTTGGAACCTGGGGTTACCAGTGGGGAAAGCACTACCCTTGTGACCTCAGGCATCCTGGGAGCTTTGCTTAATGGGTCAAGACAGGCAGAACCACACATTGCCCCACCCCACTCTCATTGATCAGTATCCCACCCTCGGGGCACTCTGACAGGTGCATACACTGCCTCTGCTTGCAGATGGTCCAACATGGGGAGCTCACTACCCACATTCCATGAAGCAGCCCAGAGCAAGCGAGCATCTGAAAAGGTTGAGGGTGGGGAAGAGGGTGCAGTGGGTGGCTAGTTTGTGGGGGATGAAGCACAGAGCATCATGGGAATAAAAAGGCAGGAAAGGACTGAGGGTCCCCAGAGCGACCTGCATCTTGGGTGATCAACAAGGATATTCAGTTTTTCATTCAACAAATATTAAGTACATATTATATATCCGATGCTGGGTAGATACCAGGGATACAAAAGTGAAAGGGACAAGATCTCTGCCCTTAAGCTTAAACTAGGACAGACAATAAACAAACAATTACATATATCATTTAAATTCAATTTTACAAACAGTATGAAAAAGGACAAGAAGCTAAGAGGTACACACCTTCATCTGGAAGGAAGGAGGGTTTAGTGCCGACCCTGGGCTTCCACACTGTCCCCGAGTCATCTCCAAAAAGTCAGTGCAATCCCTCGGAGCTTTTCTGCATGTCCTGTGAAACCTTGTTTCCTGGGCCCTATGAATTTGTCCTATATTTTCTTCTTTGGAAATAAGATGGGACATGTGTTTGGAAAGGATGCTGAGGCTGAGGAACCATGGGACACCCAGAGGGGCTGTCGGGAGGCAGTGGGATATGCTAGCCTGGAGCCAAGGAGGGAGGTCTGGGCTGGAGGTGGATTTGGCAGCTGTAAGCACAAAGGCAGGAGCTGCAGCCAGGGTGCATGAGGGCACCATGGAGTGAGACAAGCACAGGGGGAATCCCTCGGGCACTGGACACTATTGACTGAAATTCCTTCCAAACTGCCTAGGGGCCTGCCTGCTCTGGCACAAGTGCCGCCTTCACCCAGGCGAGGGTGAGGAGCTGGCAAGAGCTGTCTGAGGGCCGTGTGCATTCTGGGTCAAGGAGGAGCAACGAGCCTGTGCTCCCAGTCTTCTGTGTTCACTGCCCCAATTCTGGGTGCTCCCAAAACTTTGGTGCTCTCATGCTGCCCTCAAACACCCCCTCACCCCTCTCTCTGCCTCCAAACTGATACAGGATCCTCAGTCTCCACCCCCACCCCAAGAAAATGGCACCAGTGCCACACAGTTTGCAGACACCTCACAAAGACCTGATCCCTGGCCCTTGTTGAGGGTAGAGGGGGACATCCTGTCAGTTCCAGGGTCACTGGGACCAGGGAGCCCCTGCTGGAAAGACTTGAAAGCCTGGCCTAGTCCCCAAACCCTCCAGGGCCTGCCCCTTCGTGGACATCTCTGCTCTCAGAGCCACTTAAAGGAGACGGATTAAAGCCCTCTCTGATGATGCTTACTGCCGGGGGGCCAGGTCAGAACCCGAGCCAGAGGTGCTGGCTCTCGACACTCCCCAAATTGCCTGGCCTGGAGGGAGTAGGGTCCGCCCCCAACTCAAGGCTGCATTCTGGGCCCCAGAGACATTGTGCCCAACATCTCACCAAGTCCCAGATGAAAAGCAACTTCTCCAAGAGAAACACATTTCCACAAGAACTGATCTCAGTTGGCGGCTCACAACAAACCAAATCCCTCTTTTTAAAATTATATAAGTGAGATCTTTTCCCCAAAGGAAACAAGCTGCGGAGCTGCACATCTCTGCCTCCGGTTTAGCAGAGGTCACCAGGCGTGACCTCACCAGGCAGAGCCCTTTAGCCCCTAGGGCCACAGGCGGCTGTGGTATCTCCATTTTTGACTGTAGTCTTTGTTTCACATTCACAAAACTACATTGCCCTGGGCCGGCCCCGTGGCTTAGCGGTTAAGTGCGTGAGCTCCGCTGCTGGCGGCCCGGGTTCAGATCCCGGGTGTGCACTGACGCACCACTTATCCGGCCATGCAGAGGCCGCGTCCCACATACAGCAACTAGAAGGATGTGCAACTATGACATACAACTATCTACTGGGGCTTTGGGGGAAAAAATAAATAAATAAATAAATAAATAATTAAAAAAAAGAAAACTACATTGCCCGTTTGAGTGGTCTCCCTGGAACTACAGTACTGTCTCTCCCAAAGACAGTACTGTCTCTCCCAAAGACAGTACTGTCTCCTACCTCTGGCAAGACAGAAAACTACAGGCGGCTTTGAAATGACAGTCTGCCCAGCTTCGGGGAGCACCTAAAACTTCCCTCTAGATTCATGTCAGGGAGGAATCAAGGTTCGGGGTTCCATGTGCTCCCCCTGCCCTTGCCACTGACCTTCCGCCCCTCCTGTCCAGGGACTGCCGTATTCCCATGGCCACAGGTCCCGGTGACACAGTGTATGAAGGCCGGCTGACTAGCTAAGGTCTCATCTTGAAAAGGAGAGGTTGGGTAGAAAGCTGAGAGATCAGAGAAAAGATCTAGAATTTGTGCCATATGAGATCACCTTTCTTGTTCAAAGGAGTGTTCTTAACCTGTTTCAGAGTTTGAGAGTCTTTAGAGAATATGATGAAAGCCAAGAGTCTTCTCCCCGACAAAATGCTAAGCAAACCACCAATGTGTAAATCTGGCAAACAATGTTAGGAGGGCCACAGACTTTCTGAAGCTCATTCAGAGATTCCTTAGGAGTCAGTGGCCCTCGAGGTATGATGGCCTATTCTAGATACTATTATTAATGTCCTCCTGTAGCTACATTAATTCCTCCATCTGTACTTATGACCCAGTATCAGCACTCTCTGTCTCACTTATTTACAAGCCTCCCCATTTTTCAACCTTTTTCTATTGAATTCCTCCTTTCCCTCTGCATTTAAACTTGCTCAAATATATCACAGATTTAAAAAAATTGACACTGATTACAAATATGTATATTATCTGCTTCCACCTCTCCTCTGCTAAAAGAACTCTTGCCACGTCACCAGTGGCCTCGTTATTACTAAACCCAAAGGCCACTGCTCAGCCTTTGGTCCTCCGAACTCTCAGAAGCACTCAACTTTGTCAACCCTCCTTGAAAATCTGTCTTCTTTCGACTCTCTCGATCCCACACTCTCCTAGTTTTTCTTCCACCCCTCCAGCTGCTCATTCTCAGACTACTTTGGGGGTCCTTTTCCTCTCTCTGCCTCTTAAGTGTTCCTCAGGGCTCTGATACAGGCCTTCTTCTCTTCCCATTCTGCTCTCTCCCCGAGCAACGTTGTATCCTCCTGTGATTTCGGTTACCACCTCCATGCCGATGATGCTCACATTGTATCTTCAGCCTTTCTCCTGAGCACCAAGTCTGTATTTCCAGTACTTCTATCTGCATATCCTCAGAAACCTCAAACCTAATGTATCTGTCCTGAATACCTTCTGTTCACTCCTTCAGATCCACTCCCTGCCCTGCTCTCCCCTGCTCTGAGCCTCACATCAGTGAGCTACCCTGCTCTCCAGCTTCTAAACGTCCTCCAGGGTTCCATCCTCAGTGAATGGCAGCAACCTCCATCCGGTGACACAAACCAGAGACTTGGGCAACATGGTACACTCCTTGAGCTCAGTCACTTCCCATACCCACTGGTCCTCAGATCCTTAGCTCTTGCAAGTCCGTCCCAATGTCTCTATTCCCAATGCTATTCTGTTGAAGCCTGCATGATTTTTGGAATGGTTTATTGCTCATCCTCCTAACTGGTCTCTTTGTCTTCAGTCTCAACTCTCTCTAGTCATTCTCAACCCTGAAGCCAGAGAAGTCACCATTCTCTTAACATTAATTGAGCACACAAAATGGGCTAGTTATGGGGCTTCAGAGGTCAGCCAGAAACATATTATGCCATCAGGGAGACCACAGTTGGAGGTGGAGGTGGGGGAAGGGTTGCTAGGTTTAGCAAATAAAAATACAGGGCATCCAGTTATATTTGAATTTCAGATAATAAATGCTTTTTTCAGTATGTCTCATGCAATAATTGGAACATACTTATATAAAAAATTTTTTGTTGTTTATCCGATATTTAAATTTAACTGGGTGTCCTGTATTTTTTCTGGCAACCCTAGGCTGGGGGTAAACAAGGAAACAAAAGAATGCAATCAGCCATCATAAGTCCCCCCACAGAAGTGTGACTGGGGTACAGTAATGTATGTCAGGGCAGGGGAGGATTCTATACTTACAAAGGGACAGGAATCAGTTCTACCTGGATGGAAAGGGAAGAGGAGCTAGAAAAGTCTTTGTGGAGGAGGTGGCACTTGACCTGAGCCTTGACAAATGGAATATTTGCACAAGGTGGACGAGGGGCACTGGGCCTGTACTGGTTGTCTTTT